AAACTGTCCTTTGTTATACTATGTATTCCAATACATTGTCCTGTACAGTTGCCAACTGTGAACATAATTTGCTTATTCACTTGACACATATTAATCATACTTCTGATAAGTACCATTGTTTATAAAACTGCAGTTGTAATAGGCTAGCATTCTGCTTATGCTGATTTCAACCTCTGAACTCGAGGCTGAAATATTCTCATGTGTAACCTCATGTGCACAAGGTCCATGAAATCAACCAAGCGAATTCCCTTCATGGTAAAAATTAATTAAGAATTAACATTAACTCACAATTAACCACATCCATACTTGTCTCTAAAATGCAACAAAAGCATAAGCATGTATAGCTTGCTAGACTGCTTCAGAGTGGAGGTTCATTCAGTCTCATCTGCTGTATACAGTGCCAGATGCCTCAGAATAACATGCATGAGCTTCACCCCAGCAAGCGAGGCATCATCTTGTAGTTGATGATTTTCAAGACTATGTCATGATGTGCAAGACTTAATATCACTCTGAGAGTTCTTGTTAATGCTAAATATTCTTTGTACTAGCCCCCTCCTGTTTAGTTTGCAGTCTAACATTAGTGGGAATTAGAGAAACACAAGGTGCTATGATCTCAGTTGTCTGTTTATGCTGAGTTCTCCTTCTGCACTTGATATGGCTGATGTAACACTCTGCATGATGACTAAAACTTGCTTTCCTACTGTGCATTTACCAAGATGAATTTCACTGATTGTTATATTGTCATCTGTGTTGCCTTGTTTGGGACCCTCTGAAGTTCCTCGTAGTTTTTTAGTCCTCAGTAATTTAAATGGCTTTATGTCATGAGTGGATTTTGTGCCCTTTTTGCACTGACGTTTTGCATTGCTGCTTCTGAAAACCTTGATCTACATCTCAGCAGGTGTTGTCCTTGTTCTGTATCCACTATGTCCCTGACATGCTCATAGAAATCTAAAGTAAAAGTGATCCATAGGATCCTTGAAGATACTTGTTCTACCTAGATATTACTGTGTTATTTTGTTTTTAGTGCTTGGAGATTCTTGTTTTATAGGTCCAAACATAAATCCATAAAAAAATTTGTCATCTTTATTACCTATGAAAATCGAAGCTTAAAATGTTACATGAACATCTTTAACAACTGAGCCTCTTTCTGAATGTAGAGATCAAAAAAATACATACATCCGAGTTTCCCTTTTATTGTGTCTACATTTCCAGCTCTGACATGGCACATGCCTGAATTAGATGTGAATTTTTCTTTTTTAATGGGATTTCTGGTTTCTTTAGGGCAACAAGAAATGCTTACACTATACCTTTTGTTTTGTTTTTTTTTATAGTGAGCAGTACCCTCCACATTTAGTACATAAGAGATCTGATAGATATCAAGTGATGAAGTAATGCAGCTTTGGTGACAGAACCAAGTGATTTGGAACTACCAATTTTATCTACTTTCAATCTGTAAAAGGATAGCAGTTTAACTGCCTGCCTGAATCAAGGCACTAGAAAATTAGATCAGGAGAAAACAACAGTGGGGAGAAACATTCACCCTCCTGCTGACTGATTTTAATGTCTTTCAAGACCAGTTCATAGTATGAATGAGTAATATCAGCTAGGACTTAATGAATTTTTTGAATGTTCAGAAGGTAACGATGGCTGTGTCACCCTCTTGCACATGCTCAGATCTGAACTGCGTATTTGTAAAGAAAATGCTGATAATTAGTTGTATTTTACTCTACCACTCCCATTGACTTCTAAGGGCTGTGTAAAGATTGTAGGTTAAATCCTTTCTTGGGCACTTACACATTTTTCTCTGTAACTGTCATTAGTTTAATTGAACAGATGCCTTATGTCTAACACAGGAAGAATGTGGATTTCTTGTACATGGCGCTGGCCAGATCTGCATTTTAACACTGAAATTGAACTAGGTGTGGTTGCTGAGGGCAGTTAATCATGATGACACTCTGAAAGTGCAGCAACCCCAAGTGTTGCAAAGCTTGGAACTCGGCACAAGCTTTAGGGCTGATTTTCCTTTGAACAGCAAACTTCCTTTGCAAATAGCTAATTAGGATGAGGTTGTTCCAAGCTTGTGTGACAAACACTGTCTGAAATAATTTCCTGGCTTGTAATTAAGAAGAAATAATGAAGGAATTTGAATGGCTTGGCTGTACTGTGTGTTAAATGTAAGGACAGTCTGCATTCTTGCAAGATTTAATGAGATTTTGTGAAATTACAGTCCCTACCTTAAAGCTTTTTCTGAGGCTAGTAGAGGATTGTATACCGTGACTTTCCAAGATCCTGCAAGACTTAATTGGTAGGTGCAAAGCTACCTATTCCCCTCTCCTTTGCCTGGAGAAATCTGGATTCCTCTGTGTGTGTGTGTGTGTGTGTGTGTGCCCTTTCCGGTCGTCATTCCAGTCTCTCTGGGCTGACTAGTTTTGACAAGCTTCCGCCTCCCTTGTAAGTATATGCGTGGCAATATATTGTAATTGATGTAATAAAATAGTTTACATGTTTTGAAGGTTTTGTTGGCTTTAGATCAAAGAAATTTAAATGAGACCTCAGTTTAATCTGTGTCACAGAGTCACTTTGTGCCCATGAAACATTCTCTCTGAGGGAAGTTAGGACTGCACTGCTGTACAGTACCAGGTATTGTCAGGAGGAAAAGGTCAAATTAGGAACATTCAGATCTTTGCTATTTTGGCTTGTTAACTCTGCAAGGAATAAATGGACACAGTGCTGGGATTTAGGTATGGGTGGCATAAAGCCTTCCTTATGGAGGATGTGTGACTGTTAATTGTGAATTTTCATACATCCTTCTGATTATATTGCCCCTAGCCTTTTCTTCCCATCCTGTGCTTTTTGAGCACTTCTGGAAGCATTGCAAACTATCTTCCTTTGCAAACAGAAAAATCAATCTTCTTTTCCTGTCGTCTTTATGATACCTGCATGAAAAGAGATGAGTGGAACTTCCTCTGACATAAGTTAGGAGGGTGGATAAAATGCTTTTGTAGCATACAGGTAAAGGGCTAAGCAGAGTGTGTGGCAGCAGGCATGAACAAGTCACAGCCGTGAAAGTAGCACCAGTACAAAACAAAAATACATGTCATAGGCTGCTTTTTCTCAAGTAGTCTCATAGGCAAGCTTGGCCAATCCTCCCAGTAGTACAGTGAGAATTTTGTAACCTGGAGCAAAGCCCATTCCTACCCCCACCTCTCCTTTTACCAAAATACATAGTACCAAAATAATAGGGATCGATGCATTGGCTGATTGCCTGTGCTGGTTATGGCTTCTGATCACTACTACTGCCTAGTAGTCCTAGAATAGATTCAGACTAGTAGGGGATAAGATTTAGAAAGCCAGAGGGCATTGTGAAGTGGGTTCCCATGCACATTAACTTTCTCTTTGGGAAATTGCTCATGTTTACACTTAGCAAAGTCTTTGTAAATGTTCCAAGGCAATCGGTGCAGTTCCTTATGTAGAGGGTACAGTTTAGGTCCTTTGCTGTGGGCCAGTATGATAGCTTAGTCAGTTTTTCCTGCAATAAGTCTTCCAAATTGGCACCATCTTGTCTGTCATTTGTATTAAAATGCAATGAAACATAGCAGTCAGCCTCAGAGTTACATGTAAGTCCTGAAAGCTTGTACCTGTGCTTGAGTTAGAACAGTCATGATAGAAAGTATTTAGGTAATGTCTATAAACAAAACAGTATAGGTGTCAGTTTTGGCTTTGTCTGAAACTATTGCTGGAGCTACTCTGTGAAACTGAGAACTTAAGTCAACAGAGTATTGAGAAATTTACTTATTCATTACAACAGGTGTATTTTTTTCTTTTTTCTGAGATATTGGTAGCTATTCTGACATTTGTGGCTCCCCCACTGCATAGGGCCAGTTGCAGTCATTTTCTCTTGGGTTAGTGGAAACCAAATGCATTTTGTTTAGTTGAAAACGGAATGATTTCTTGTGTTCAATGTTCTCTTATTCTATGAATTCCTAGTATTTCTCATGTAAGATCTGTATGCATGAAAATTTGCATGATGCTTAACGGTAGTGTATCCATGATAGAAATGAGATGTGTTTTGGCCTTGGTCAGGTTGGCTGTGGTAATGATTTATCCTTTTATCTTTGGAGAAGTTTCAGTCATTCATTTAGTTCATCAAAAAAAAAAAAAAAAGACATCAGGGCATTTTGAGACAATGGTGCATGTGTGAGGAGCTATGTGCATAAATAAATGTCTGTCCAGATGACAGATCAGCTCTACTTCATTCCTATTCTCAGGAACAGCGATTCCAGCCTGTTACTATTTCAGATGCTCTAATATTTATTTGCCATTCCTTAGTCAAAGACTTGTGCCTTTTATCTGCTTTTGTACTGTTACTCTCAGTCATTTCTTTGACAAATATTTCATTATTTATTATTCATGATCTGAATATAGAAACTGTGAATTAAGAGTATTGTTTATTGAATAGCTTCTCATTTTTCCAGCCATAAGAAGAGAGTTCTGTTCTAACACTGCCATGTCTTACTGCTGTATTTTCCTTCTAGTAATTAGATGAAATGATAAATCTAATTCTAGAATTTAATTATCTGAGCTACTTGGATACTACTTTGGCTATTACTGAATAAAAATTATAATTAGTGAATATAATTAAATTATATTCAATGAAGCTTATGAAACCATTGATTTTAAATGGTGTTCCTTGGAAATCTATCTGCTATCTTTGCTACAGGGTCTAATGCTGAAAACTGTCACGCTTGACCCTCTCCTTCCAAATGAAATTATATAATGATTTCCACTAATAATTCTATTCATGCAGGTCCATAGAACAGGCTAGGGAGTGAAAAGGATGCCACTGTCTTTACAGTGTAGCGTGTAGTACCTTTTTATTAATTTCTATTCCTATTACATCACTTTACTTTGGCTGAGTAGTCTGCATTTCTGTGCTGCCAGTCATAATAATGCATTAACACTGCAGCAGTCTCATAATCAGAACTGATGTACAGGTTTTATCACTGAGCAGGAGCCACATCAAGCATCACAAATCCCTTAATGTCTGAAAAATGGATGCAAACCAAGTCCACCTGAAGCTGCCTGGTGCCACTCTTGTAAGGGATTATTTCAAATTGTACTGTTGAGCTCTCCATGGGGACCATTCTTTCCACCCTAAAAGAGAGAATACATTTATAAGTTCAAGAAGCTGAAAAATTCTTACTGTGTATTCTTCAGAGGCCCCTGATCTAAGACATTATGGAAAGGAAGAGTCAAGAGTATGCGGCTGCTGTTTGTATGCTTCTAGCACAGGTGGACATGACCTTCCATGTCCACAGCCCCCACAACACTATCCTGGAAGAGCTAATCAAGCTGTAATGGGTGGTGCAATAGTTGCAGTTCTCAACCTGTGATAGAGAATTAGGTGGTGTAGCATGAGGGCAAAACATACAGAGCACCTGAGGAATGATCAGAAAGCTTATCTGTAGAAGAGCTCAAATCCAACTGTGTGTTACCCTTAACACTCACAACATTTTCAGTACTCTAGATATGCTCATGCTGTATTTTAATGTGGTAAATATAATTACCTGTTGAATTCTTGCCCATAGTTAGAAATGACTCTCGGCTGTCCTACACAAGGAGACTGAATAGTAGCACCAGAAAACAGAGGGAGTGGGAGGAAAGGGCCTCTCTGCCCTAAGGAGGTACTGAAGCTGGCAATGCCAATGCTGATAAGGCAAGTTAGGGTTCAAGGTCAGGATCTAGACCTGAATTTTGTATTCGGTGTAAATGAAGCCTTGGTGATTCACATCATTACCCGTCTTTTGCTATTTTTTTTGTTTTGTTTTCCTCTCCCATTTTCTTAGTGCAACTCCTGCAGCATAAATATTTTGGAGACTTTAAAAAATGTTTTCAAAATAATAAACATGGAGGAGGTGGAAGAACAATTTCTTGTTGGTATGATATCTGTGGACACATTTTAAAGACATTTCATTGCAGTATATGTCCTGGCTCTCTAGTAATTTAATAACGGAAGGAAAAAAAAGATACTGTCACTTTCTCTCTTAGTCTTCAATGATTGTTTGATTTTCCTTTTGCAAACCACAAGAAGAAAGTATTAAATTTGTTTCCCTTTATGTAATTAAGTCACTAACTACATCACTCTCAAGTTTTATGCTGTCATTAAAAGCAGGCCACCCTTCCACTTCTTGAGCAATCTGTAATTCAAAGTTTGACAAAGGAGATGTGAAAATCTCCAATTAGTATATGAAGGGTACTTACATGATGGTATTTTGTCCATAGTTGGTGCAAACAAAAGTCATGAGGTTGACAGAGTCTTTTTTGAAAAAATGTTCTTATTCCACATTTCCCACCAAAGTGAGTTATTAGCCAGATAGCATTTACTTACTTGATTCTGAGTTGCTCTTTGAGCAAGCCACTACCTTCTGCTCTCAGCACACAGTCTGTCACCTCTTCAGACAGTGGGTTGGTAAATGTGACCTGCACATTAACAGCCTTGTGTACCACTGTTGGACCAAGGACCTGCAGAGACAAAGCGTTCTGCTCAGCCACTGCATTAGTGTCACGACTTTCTCTTGTTTTTCTCTTTCCATTCCCACTGCAAACCACGTACCCTTAGGACCTCCTGGACAGGAAGGAGCCAGGAATTAATACGTGTACCTACTTTGGGGCATCAGAGTTCAGGCTTGAATCAGTGTGACAGAGAAAGAGCAAACTACTGTAGGATCTACCATTTAGTCCTATTTTTTTGACTAGGTCAGTGTATGGTGTTATGTGTAACACAGTGTATACTTGCCAGAGTGAGAAAAGAATGAGAATACAAGTATTAACTTGGCATATATGACTAATTACTATAGGCAGCTTAAGTCAAATTAGCTTTAGTTAGGCTCAATGATAGGTTTAGGATTAGAAGACATTGGAGGTATGAGACAGAGGTGAATTGCAGTGACTTGAGGAAAAAAAAATAGAATGCCAGGTAGCAAATAAACATATTAATTGTCTTATTTTGAGATAAAGTAGAATTGGCGTATATGGTTGTCTTTGTAGATAAAGTAATATTAATCAATATAATGGAAAAGTCCATCACTCCCATTGCATTTCTTTATATTGGCTGTATGTTTAGACAGAATTTTCAGTCAACAGAAACAGAAACCCGTTTTGAGACTTAGTTACTGAATTGAAGTAATTTACTTCAGGGGCCTGTCCTATGGAAGCTGACTCTTATTTGCATGATACAGCACAGAAGGCTTTTTACAGAATTTCACTAGAACTTGATTTTCACAAATTGGCAGACCTACAAAAATCCAACCTTTTTAATCCTATGTGTAGCCTTGCTTTTTCTGTATGCTACTGACAGAGAGGTTTGGGGTAACTAGTCTGGTCTGAAGGCTCTGAAAGACTCTGTGAATTACCATACTCCCTTTATGTTGTTCACGCTACGTTAGACAGACAGCATTTGATCCCATGTCTTATACATATGAATATGTTGAACTGTCCAAAACAAGTTAAGCTAGTTTTTGTGGATGTGATGGGCCAAGCAAACCTAGGACTGTCCCCTGCCATAGTGCATGATCTTTCCTGTAGACTAAGAATTGCTTTTACCCATTTTACAACTTTTGTAAGAACGCAGTCTTACGTGGAAAAAACCCTTTTATAGTTCTAATTATAAATCCTGTGGGAAGATGTGACAGAAGGTGAAGAGTGCCACTTTTCCTGATAAGGTGAAAGAACTTATTTGAGTATTAGTAATAACAAGCCTCACAGCCCCAGGTATTACCAGTTAGCCAGTGAAGATGTCTTTGGTAAAAATAAGGCTTCCTAAATAAACTGGAAGAGAACGACCAGACTTCCCTGACAGAAGTGGAGGCCTAGATATGGACTAGATCTCCCTGTCTCTCTGTTTGTCTGTCTGGAGATAATCTTACCTTGTACCCTTGTAACACAACATTATCAGGACCATGTCAGCAAGCACTGGCAAGAATGCCATAGCACAGGAAAGGTTTGCTTTTCCTTAGTGTGTTTCATTTCACTTGTGTTATATGGCCTATTACTAGAGCAACAAGATCAAAACACCCTTGAGCATCATTTCACTTCCCACACTCCTCCCCATGAGGCGTCGCCTATTCTCAACATGTCCCTCTAGGGACCCAAAGGGCACTATCTTTTACCTTGATGGAGAGAAGAGGATCCTGAAGTACAATATCTTTCTCCACGAGAAGCGAGGCTCCGTGTTTGATTTCACACACAGCAGTCACTAGGATCTTCCTGTCATCCATCAGATGTTTTTTGTACTGGGCATAGGAGATCTTGAATGAAATCTCATTCGCTGGAATGGAAATAGAAACAGAATTTGCACCTCTTCTTTTTTCTGTGTCTAAGCACCAGCTATCTGTAATATATCTTTATTTTAAGGAGCAAGAATGCTATCACCCTGCGGCTGTCCATTTGTGGGTGTTGACAGCGAACAGACAGGATTGATGCTCATAGATGACTTCTACTTACATTCACATCAAACACTGAAGGATCAGGAATAGTTTGGTAGCTGGACAGTTCTGAGGAGGAAATTTCTGCTGGTGTTTTTTTAATGTCTGAAGCTGGACATTTAATGCTCCTTCCTTGAAAAGAAGGCAGAATTGAAAAGGTGCATTGGTTTAAATGCCCTTGCTGATACAGCTGTTCAGCCTCTGCCTTAAAGAGAATGCAGTGCCAGTGAGGGAGGCAATGGCTTTCAGTACCTTGAGAAAAAAATGTTCATCTACTGCTGGAATGATGGAAGGAGTTATGTGTTGCATATTGGATTCAAAAGGTAGTTCTATTCATCTCTGCTACACGTTCCATATTTCAGCACTGTCCCTAAAAAGCAGGGCAGAGGCCACTATCTGCAGGTAGTGTACCTCGTGCTGCAAAAGACCTAGGCTTATGTTTCCCTCTTTGATCTGTCCTTTAACTTTGCTTATGGTGAGTAGGTAGCTGAGTTGTCTCCAGTGTGTGTCTTAGTTCTCTCAGCAAAAAAGATCATAATGTAGAATTAATAATGACTGTGCTGGGTCAGATAAAAAGGTCACCCAGTTCAGTATCTTTTCTGACAGCACCCAAAATCTCAAATGCTTAAGAGTGGGCAAATATGTGTCTCTTCCCCTGGATAGCCCTGGTCTCTAACCGGTTCCAGGTCATGCACTTGAGCCATTCATTATTTCTATGTGATCTGGCCACAAACAAAGATATGTTTTGTTCTAAGCTGTAATAAAATTTAAAATACCTTCTTGAGATCCAAGTTTAATAGACCTAGACAAGTGCAAAATCTCTGCCTTTGGTTTTCTTGTGTAGAGAATGGCTGAAGCTGTCAGTTTAACCTTTATTGTCTTGAAATCTGAGATCAAGTTCCTGAGTGCCAAGGTAAGGAGGATATCCTGGCCAATTACAGGAGATGCGCCAAGGATCAGCTTCCCTGAAATACTGGGGTTTTGTGCAGGCTGTGTTGTATTCTGTCTCCATGTTGTTGAAGATCGTCTTCTAGATCTTGTAGTATGGATTCTTTTTCCAGTGTTTCTCACACCAAGCAGCTTCAGTGCTTTTTTATACACCCGCCTTTCTTTCAGGGATCCTGCTTTGAAAGATGACATGGTTGGAGATCTCATGCATACTAGATATAGTGGAGCCATAATTGCTCTCAGAAAATACAGCTTAGGAAAGCTGACGAAGGTAAAAGATACACAAGAGGAGAAGTGAGATCTAACCTAAATGCTAATTTTGACAAAAAAGCAAATGAATATACGTGGCCATGAAAACTGGAAAGTAAAACCCGCCTGTCAGCTTCAGTGAGCTGTTCACGGGCACCTTCTGAGAAGCTGTGAGCTGTAGAAAGACAAGTTGCGGGAGAGCTCAGTTCTGCATAAGCTGGGGCAATTGTCATCTCCTCTAAATTAAGAAAGGTGAAAAAAATCTGCAGAACTCTACTTTTGCAGAATGGCTGTCGCTGCATGTCATAACAGAAATGTTCTCAGCAGCTAATCGGAACAGCGGGGGCGGTGTGTTTTACAGGAGTAGCTCTGGCTTTCTGTTGAATACATTAGTATTTCATCAAGGGCCATAAAGGCGATACTGAATCACTGTCAGGTGGCAATGAGCCCTAAGATTCTGAAAATTCCCTATTACTTTGCTCTAGAAGAAGTAAAGAAATTAAGTCAGTGCTCAGTCCAACAAAGGCCTAAATTCTTTTCACTTCTGACCATCAGTGGCAAGATCTGTAATAAAGAATTTACCTTCTGGATATTTGTAATTAGCAGTGACATCCACACGGGAGTTGGTGCCCACTGCTTTGGTGCTGATAAATTTTCCGATCTTCCTAGTATCAGAATAAATTCTCTCTTTTCTCTTGTTGCTGTGGCGAATCCAAGTAACATAGTCAGCATTCACTGCTGCAAACACAAACGAGCTGTCGTAATCCAGGTTCACGTCCCCTTCCTTAATGGCTCTGGTGGAGGCAGGACCACACTGATATACGCCTAGGTGAGAGACAGGGAGAAGTTAAATGACTGCCTATTGCAAACAAACACAAACCTTCATGCTGGCAGCAAAAGAGAGAGGTTTTAACTCCAAAGACACATTTGGATCAAGTGAATTGTTTCTACATCCATGCGTTATGGTAACAGCGTATCCAGAGATTCCACATGTATTTTCTATCAGAAGGTAGGAGCACAGAAGAGGTTGTAAGGCTAATAAGGTGTAGGGAGGGTTAGCACTTCTGCCATGTGTTACATATGTGTCTGCTATTTATTCGCTCAGTGATATGTTCTAACCCTGCAAAGCTGGCAAAGTTGTTATTCTAGGCTGCTAGTGAAACAGGGGGAGAGGATGGGAGCCGAGTCAGAAGTACAGTCAGACACCTATGAGATATGAGTTATCAATGCTGTATGTCCATTGAGAAGAACCAGGAAGCTAAACTGGGTAAACTTAGTAGTGGGGAATGAGAAGCAGTTTACCTGCAGTTTGATGGGTTTTAAATGACCAAATAAATTAATCTTGTGATTGAGGTCATTAAACTAGATCAATGAAATTGTGTCTTAGTAAATAAAACTAGAGACAAAGGGTGAAACCAAGTGGCCATTGGTCATCCACACTGTTTACTTGCTAGCAAGCTACTTATTGCATTTTATTTTTTTTCCCCCTTGTCAATGAGTGATCTTTCAGACAGTGAACGTGAAGAATTCAGGGAGTGGGAGAGACCAGGGTTTGTTTCTAGCAGGCTGTGCATTTGTTTTGGTCTGGGAGGAGGAGGAGGAGCCATTCTGTGTCACTTGGTTTCAGAACCAGAGAACGGTTTGGGGCTTCTTTCCGTGTAGCTTTGTACTTATATGACATGTTGTTGTATGTCATGGGGACATCATATGAAATACTTTCCTACCCCTTCCAGTGCATCCTGTAAAATATAAGGTAGAGTCATGGGGCATATTTTATTTTCTGTTGTATGCTCTTTGGTTCAACCCTGTGACTATAAGCTCTAAAATCTTTATTTAACATCTTACTAAAATTAATCTGGTTTGCTTCTAAATCTGTCCAGTGCAAGCCTGCAAAAGTGTCTAATGCCAGCAATATGTCCTGACAGCAAGGAAGGCCAACAACATCCAGGGCTGCATCAGGAAGATCGTTGACACCAGATCAAGAGACATGACCCTTTCCTTCTATTCATTACTGATGACACCACATCTGGTGTGCCATGTCCAGTTCTGGGCTCCTTGTATAATAAAGATGTGGACATATAGGAGCATGTCCTGCAAAGGGCCACAAGAATGATTAAAGGATGAGAACTGAGACTGTTCAACCTGGAGAAGGTAAGGCTTGGGAAAATCTTATCCATGTGTGTTAATACCTGATGGGAGGGGCATAAAGAGGATAGCATCACACTCTCCTCAGTAATATCCAGTGAAATGACAAGTGGCAGTGGGCACAAATTGAAACACAGGAAATTCCCTTTAAAACACAAGAAAACAACCCTTTTCTATGAGGATAGTCAAATTCTGCAACAGTTTTCCCAGAGAGCTTGTGGAGTCTCCATCCTATAGGATACTCAAAACCCAACTAGAAAGGGTTCTGAGAAACCTGTTCTAATTGACCCTGTGCTGAGCAGGTGGTTGGAGTAAGCAAACTGAAGGTCTCTTCCAACCCTAGCTATTCTATGTAATTTAATGAATCTGTGTAATGTTAGGAGTTAAGAAAAGCAAGGGTGGGATAAGCGAACTTATGATGTGCTGGCTTTTGTGGAGACAGAGGATCAAAAAAAGTAAGACTTTGCGTACTGTTGGCATCCAGAGACTGACAGAAAAGCAACACAGTGGAGCTTGATGCGAGTGTTGCTTTTCTTGTGCACCAGAATTGATGCTGCATCTACAGGGAACAGACAGAAGAGAGTTGTCCTGAAATGTCAGTAGTGATCTTTAGGAGCAACAATACCTGACAGCTTTTTATATTTACAACAGTGTTACCTTTGCTTCTTTCCTGGGGTGTTGCATCCAGAACCTGCCATCCGTCATAAAAAGAGCCAAGATCTCTTCTAATGAACCAGCTTTCATTCCATACATGGAAATTCCTGGAAGGAAAATAGATTAGGGAATCACTGATTCATACAATTAATTTTATATTGAAAGATTTTATACATTTCTGGTGCAATGCAAGAGATAACCCTAATTGAGTGAATGAAGACTCCTGTCTAGAGAGTCCAGTTGCTAACTCCTTTCTTTCCATTTCTGTGCCAGCTTTTTGTGTTCAGATCCCTGAGAAATGTTGATGTTATGAACAAAATAATGTTAAAAGGAAAATAATTCATTGCAGAGTCAAGTATTTACTTCTGGACATTCCATAACAACTTACTGTAGGCAAAGTCTTCTGTACACATTGCTATCTATTGTTATTTAACTCACAGTTACTTTCTACTTTGTGTCACCCTAGTCCCACTCGGTCCACACGGTGTAGAGTGCCTGGTGACTGAAATGCTGATGTGTGCAGTACAATACGTGTGCAGTGTGATAGTTTCTGTGCACTGTTTTTAACAGCTTCTCTGAGGTGAAAGAAACACCATGTTCTTCCTACAGGATAGGATGGAATTTTTCTCAGCTGCATTAAACATTATCTTTACTTTAATAACCTCTCAGTCTTGTGCAAGGGGTGTATAATGTTAGTCATGAAAGACTGAGTGTGTGTAGCACAGGAACTGGGTCTAAAACTTACAGGCTTCTGAGTGTGCTCTGCTCTCGGAATCAAGGGACAAGCTGATATAATTTTGGGGCAGGAGGTTATTCTCTCTTCAGCTTTTTTTGGAAAAAATCTTTCATACAGCAGAGAAAATTAGCTGTTATATTTTCAGTTATGTGTTGAATAGCAATGGGACAAAGTATCTACCCTGTTAATTCTACAAAATGATGAAACTGATTACATATTGCATTTCTCAACACTGTTCTTTGCTATGGGGTTTTAGATCACTGAGAGCATGAGGCTGGGATGTTTTTTCTGGAGCATGATTCTAGGTCTTTTAATTAGGGGAGAATATAGAATCGTAGAATCATTTTGGTTGGAAGGGACCTTTAAAGGCATCAACCATTAAGCCAGCACTGGCAGGTCACCACTAAACCAAGTCCCTCAGTGCCACATTTACGCATCTTTCAAATCCCTCCAGGGATGGGGACTCCACCACTGCTCTGGGCAGCCTGGGCCAGGCCTTGACAATCCTTTTGGGGAAGAAATTGTTCCTCACGTATGAGTTAAACCTCCCCAAACCCAGCTTGGGGCCATTTCCTCTATCACTTGTTCCCCGGGAGAAGAGAACAACCCCCACCTTGCTACAACTTCCTTTCAGGGAGTTGTGGAGAGTGAAAAGGTCTCCCCTGAGACTTCTCCAGGCTCAACAACCCCAGGTCTCTCAGCCGCTCCTCAGAAGACTTCTTCTGTAGACCAGCTATGTTGCTCTTCATTGGACATCCTCCATCCCATCAATGTCCTTCTTGTATTGAGGGGCTCAAAACTGAACCCAGTATTGAAGGTGCAGCCTCAGCAGAGTCCAGTAGGATGATCCCTGACCTAGTCCTGCTAGCCACACTATTTCTTATACAAGCCAAGATGCTGTTGGCCTTCTTGGCCACCTGAGCATACGTTGACTCATATCCAGCTGGCTATCAACCAACACTCTGAGGTCCTTTTCTTCTGGGCAGTTTCCAGCCACTCTTCCCCAAGCCTGTAGTGGTGCAGGGGGTTTTTGTGACCCAAGCACAGGACCCCACACTTGGCCTTGTTAGACCTCATACCACTGGCCTCAGCCCATCAATCCAGCCTGTCCAGATCTCTCTGTAGAGCCTCCCTACCTTCAAGCAGATTAGCACACCATATAAAGTGTATATATAATAAAATAATAATACAATGGAAGAAATACTAGGGAAAAAAAAAATATTTACCACACACTGTCTTTAGTGAAGTGCAGGGTCTTTCCAGAAATGTCAATGTACTTATCAATACTCAGATTGATATTCCTGTCATGGGCAGAGTTGAAGTTTGTAATAACACGAGTTGGTATTCCCAAGGATCTCAGAACTGCAATATAGAATACCTTAAATTGCTGTAAACCTATTTTACAGACATTTAGAAACTATTTTTCAGCTTTTCTTGGCAAAGCAGTCTAGTCTATATGTTTTCAGTGGGAAAACAAACCTTCAGAAACTACCCTCTCATATCATGCAAGTCACAGTAATTGTGCACAATTGCTTAGAAGACAGTTCCACTCACATGACATTCTTAGCTGCCATGTTCTTTTAAAGAAGAGTTAGGTTAACCCATTTATTTTAATCTTCCATTTTTCATCCTGTTCTCTCTCCCATTTTCTCCCTGTGTGTGTTTCTCTGCTACTGCTTCTTTTTCTTCTTCCTCTCTGAGACATACCTCTCGACTGAATTGTTTTTCCTTTGTATTTTCCCCAAAATGACTCTTGTCTCTCAGAGCAGCTCTGAATGGAAACTGCTAGGATTAAATGCCTTTTCTGACTTGTAGTGCCCTTTACAGGTCCTCAGAATTGTGATTTGATTTTTGTTACCAGCAGGTAAGACACAGCAGTAGAAAGCTGGCATTATGAGGAGACAGACTTGAAAGAGCCCTGGGTCTTCTTTGAATCCTTGCTCTTTTTACCAGCCCAGACTGGCAAACAGCTTTGCATTTTGTTTGGTGACTCACAAAACTAGGGTGCTGCATTACAATCTACGTCTATTTAAAACAGAAGAATAACACTTCATGCATGGAGAGCATAGGTTCTTCACTCTCTCTGTCAGAGCTGAAACAGCTTCAACAATAAAGTCACAAAGTTAAAACTACCAAAAATTCTAGTAAGCTTCCTTTCTAATAGCATTCTTCATCCCTTCTTGTATACCTGTGCACATTACTCCTGCAAAGACCCAGCACTGGCCATACCGGACAGGTTTGTATCTCCCCCTGTACCACTTCCGAAGGATGGTCACACTTCCACTCCACTGCAGGGGGTTGGTTCCTGAGAAGTACTTTCCATTCCACTTCCCTTCCACCACTCCTTTTTCATCATTGCTGTTAACCTGAAAGAGTCCTTCTCATCAGAGAATTAAAATATTTACAGAAAAGGAGAGAGGGAAATAGGCAGAAATTACTCTGTTATACCACTGTTCTCATTGGCCGAGTGATGTGACATAGTATTTTAATCATAGATAGAATTCTGGGATCAAACCCAGATCAGACCATAGCATCTGATGATTCAAAACTGCCTTGCTTTTCAGTACAAACGTTCCCAAATGTACCGACTGACAAGCTGTTTAAATTTTCTCTGTTTCATTGATGAATGTCACCTCCTGGTATGCCACTCTACCGTTACACTGTTAACATTCTCAATTCATTTCTATGGAAGCCTCAAGAAGTATGTATTTTCTCTGAATGTGCATTTGTTGCAGATGCACATATAGTACGTGTAGCTTGCTCACATTTGTTAGATGTACTTGCATATATTTTGAGCAGATCCATTTTAGAGGCCTTTTTAAATGTCATATATGGTTGTACAGAAAACAGTAAGTTCTTTTTAATATTTTTTTTTTAATTATTTGTACTTTTAGTGATTTTGTATATCTAAGTAGAGTTATTTACTTCATGATGAAGCTGAAATTGCCTAAACTGAGTGCTCTCTAAAAGGATGGAAAGGATCACAGCTATAAAGGAGGAATCTCAGATGAGGAATGTGATAATACATGTATTATTTGATTATTATATTTAATTATATTAATTATTATTATAATTA